CTGCATGCGGGCTTTCTCTAGTTGCAGTGAGCGGGGGTACTCTTCATTGCGGTGCACGGGCTTCTCATTGCAGTGGCTTCTCTTGTTGTGGAGCATGGGCTCTAGGCACGCGAGCTTCAGTAGTTGTGGCATGTGGGCTCAGCAGTTGTGGCTTGCAGGCTCTAGAGCACAGGCTCAGTAGTTGTGGCACACGGGCTTAGCTGCTCCGCGACATGTGGGATCTTCCCGGACCAGGGCTTGAACCCGTGTCCCCTGCACTGGCAGCTGGATTCTTAACCACTGTGCCACCAGGGAAGCCCCCTAACAGTAGAGTTTCGTTTTTGTTTGAAAAAAAAAATTTTTTTTTTTGGTGGGGGAATTGAGGATTCTGAGGAAGGGGTACAGATACTGGGAGAAAGAATTTCGCAGGAAAAGAAAATTCTAAAATCTTTGGACCAACCAAAGTGGGTTGGTCCTTGGGGAGAAGTCTGCAGGCACCAAGGAAGGTGGTGACTAGTGTACCATATGATGCGATTAGTTATATGTTCCTTTACTCCTTTTTTTATACTAGAAAAAAACCTTATTTTTTTAAGATGCTGAACTTCTAAATTTGCTTTGCTGGGAAAAGTAGAAATGGGAACACATATCAGTCATTTCTTTGGTTTTCTGGTAAATCGCCATCTTTTGACAGTAGTATATTTATCTTAGTCATTTTGTGCAATTCTAGAGGCCACTGCCCAGAGGGGCTACTCGGTCCGTGAAAGCTTTTTACAATACTTCAAAAATATTTGTAATTGTCAGTCTCTATCAAAATGGTAAATGTGCCTACCCTAGGACTCTGCCATCGCACTTCCAGGTGTCTATCATACAGAAATAACAACAAGCTGTGAAAAGATCTGGGCTCAGTGCTGCTCATTACAGTATTATTTGTAAGAGCAAAATACGGGAAATAACTGAGCATCCATTAATGAGGACTGAGTTCATATATTTTGTGACCTCTGTAGAACAGAATAGCATCAATACTCTCAACCTGTTAAAAAGGAGGTAAAACCTAATACAGTAACCTGGAAACAGGTCTATTTTTATGCAGTTAAATGGTAAAACAGGAAATTTCGTGTATATGCATCTGTCTATATACCTGCTATATATTTTATCATTTAAAGAACTGTATATACATATTAAAAATTCTGGAAGGATATGCATGGAGCTCTATATGGTAGATATTTCTGGAGGGTCAAATTGGAGTAGTTATAGGAAATCATTTACTTTTTGTTTTAAATATTTCAAAAGAAGAAAAATAAGTGGTGAGATGAAGAGTAATTTTTCTTTTCTAAGTGTTTTTTTTTGCCTTTTACAACTTATGAAACTTTTCAAACACACACAAAATGTAAATAATATAATGCACAACTGTACAGCCATAACGTACGTGTAACAATTGTTAAGCTTATTTTCTATTTAAAAAATTTTCCTCAATAAACATAATTAAGAAATGTTGATGGGGAGGATTATAAAATGACTTGGAAATTTTTTTAACAGAAAAAAAGAAAAGTTTCCTCCCAACAAAGAGAGTTCACTTTTGTTCAACATGTAACTCATCTCTCAGCCATCCTAACACATACCCAGTTCCCACTGTCTACAAAAATGTGTAAGGCTTAATAGAAGCTTCACTAAAAGCATCTTTTGTAAGTGAATCTTTTCTTCCCTTCCTCCACAGATCTTATAGGCTTGTAAAACATTGATGAGCAGTTAATAATTCTAGAAAATTCTTCTACTACATCTCCTCTCTCATTTACTCATCTTGTCCATTTTATTCCATTACCCACTTGAGGTGGTAAGTCTCACCTTAGCTAAATGATCCCTTCTTATGATCCCTTCATACACCTAGCTCTCGATTTTACATTTGCTAAATCACTGGTGACACAGCAACGTTACTTCAACTGACATGTTCCACACCAGTTCTGACTGTCCCCACACACCAATAATTGATGACTCAATGTAGTAAACCATACTCTCCTAAGAGATTAGGTAGTTCAGGTTCTTGCAAATACAACCTGGCTGTATACTGCCATCTGAACCTTAACAGACAGATAAATATATTCGTGGAAAATACCTACAAGCATAGGTACCTGCTTTTAATTGGGAAAGCGTGAGCCTTCCTTGTCCTGTTCAGTTGCTTGAATACAGCGTTTCACAAACAGAGGGACTTGATTATCACCCCAGATTTGGTAAGTGTGCTAAAGCAATGTTTCTCTCCACACCCCACAGCCTCACAAAGATGGTTTATTGGGAAAAGAACAGATTTCTCCGTCTTCACTTTGTGCCTTAGCTGAGTGGCAAGGGACAAAATTCTCACCTTTTCCTTTCCCTGACCCACAGACAGATGTGCACTGCAATTAAGGAAAGAATTCTTTGAAGTACTTAATGTCAGAATACTGTATTTACATGAAATTTAAAATGTATGTTTCAGTATCTTTTAAATATGAAGCAGAATTTGGGGAAAAAATGTCTGACTCTTTAAACCTAGACTCTCCAACAAGAATAAGTAACTTAAAATGTAAACAGATATTTCACTCACAAGGTGAATATTTTTAAAGGAAAGTAGAACTAAGAATCAGTGAACTAAGCAATATGTTTCCTTTACCTTCTGAAAGACCTACTGAATTTCAAGTGATAATGTTAGTTTGACATTTTGTCATCTACAACAGACCCATCAGAAGTCGAAATCAGTTTGCTTTCACGAGCAAGTTCCGTGCTAGGGGCTGGTTATATAAACCACAGGTTTCTGATTCCATTGAAAATCCTGGATTCTTAATTCCCTGCTTATGCACACCATTAAGAAACACTGTCAAATTTTGTAATGTTTGTGGATAATTATATACCCAAAGGTATGATGTATATAAAGGCACATTTCAAAAAGGGAGGGGCAAATGGTTTAAAATCCAAAAAAATAAGTAAAAATTAAAATTGTTTCCTGTGCAACACCTAAGAAAGGTGCTTTAGAATAAAAGGATCATTTTATTTCATCATCCAGGAAAGCCCTTGGTTATTCGTGAATCAGGGAGGAAGAAATAGCACAACACAGTTACTTGGTTAACAATCCCAACTTCTGCTCTCATCCTGTTGGCAAGTAATTGAGGAAATTCATAGCCACTGGCTGGAATCCATACTGGCTGAAGAAAACTAACGTTTCTATGAATTTCACATTGACAGCTAGGTACAATTTTCTGTGTACACTGGTCACATTTTCAGGACAGCAGGCCACATCACAGAGCGTGGGAGGCACGTAGACCATTTCAACAAATCAGGCTTAAGCAGACTGCTTACCTGAGTACAACATAATGCTGCCTCAGTGAACAGATGTGCTAGGATCTTGGGACAATTTCTCCTGTTCTATTCTCTTCCTCTACTAAATCACCTCTCTCCTTTTTACTGTTTGCCTACTTTATTCTACTATCCATTTGAGGTGAGAAGTCTCATCTTAGTTAAATGATACCTGATGGCGCTGGGGGTGGTGAGTGATAGCACTCGCACTGGCTCTCTTCTTTTGGGGCTACTATCGCCTTTATACTCAGCCTTTTAAATAAATTCCCATATGGGAGATTTTTGGCCATGTGAAAATTTTCTTTTACTTTTTATGCTGATGAAGGTATATCTTTTGCCTTTTAAAGAACAAACCTCATTTGAGATAGAATTTTAACAAACAACCCACTTCTATGATGACTTGTATAGCCACATGAAAAAGTGTCAGGCATTTCTTTTAACTGAATAGTTTCTAGTTACTATGACATATCTACATGTAAGATAAAAAATACGCTAAACACAATAAACTGTGTATTTTCAATTCAAAGCAATTCACTGCAAATGTGTAGTTTAATAAAATCTGTGGTGTACCATACTGTGAATAGAATATCCATTTGACACACAAAAAAGCTTTCAAACAATTTGGGGTGCAATACTACCATCAAATTTTAATCAAATAGACCTTCTTAGATCAGCTCTTTAATTTTGTCCATCATCATTAGGTATTAAGACAGTGCCACTCAGTTTTATGTTTTTAGCTCTCTCTTCGTTATTTGGCATAAATAAGATTTAGGTGAAAGAAAGCAAAATAGAGCTAGCCTTGAATTAACTATACTGTACAAAATGCCCCTCAGCAGGA